GGGGCCGTGCCATGGGGTGGGAGCAGGGAGATGCAGTGGGCTGGAGACAGATGGAAAAAAGCAGGAAATCCAGCAGCATGAACTGGGAGAGCAGGTGGCCCACAGTTTCTACTGCATGTGCTACCTGCCTCGTCTGGTTATATTCACTGCTTAACCTTCCCCTCAAGTCTCAGTATTTATCTTCCTAGCCAGCCACACCAGTAACAGTCCACTGAAACGAACAGCTTTGGGTTTTCTCTACTTGCCCTGCTTAAGGTTTGGCTCCAGCACTCATTTTCCATGGGAACTCGCTTCATCTGATCTCGTGAGGCATAGCAGTCTGATGCTGCTGGTGTCCCTCGTCTGTCCTCACGAATCCATGCTGCACTAAGAGCCAGTGTCCAGGCACTGGGTTTTCTCCTACAGATGTGTCATGTTGGGCACTAATGACATTTCTAGAATTTGAAGCTTAGAGCATCTTTCAGCTCATGCTGGGGTGGCTGCTGAGCACTGTTCAGCATCTCCATAGCTCTTCAACACATGGTAGTATGAATATCTGAAACACAAGTTCCTGCTCTTCTCACTAACCATGAACTGCATGGTGGGGGTGCAGTAAGTGAAGCTGGCAGGACCTGAAGCCTCGGTGATGATCTTTGCTCAATGAAAATTCTGTAAGAAAACCAGCAATGCTGGCAGGAGACGATGCAGGTCCAGGAATTAAGAAGCTGTGTTTTCTGAGCCCTGATTTGGTTGAGGAACCACATTTGTCTAACATGAGGGATAATAATTCTTACCTGAGAGGATCTCTTTAATTATTACCTTGTGCATGTGTCGTGCTGTACATGAATACCAAGTGTACATGAATACACCAAGATTTATTCTGGTATGGCTGGACATGAATATAAGTGAAATCTCTGGGAAGTTCAGGCAATTAACACCTGAAAATCTTTGCTTTACAGAGATGTAGTTCAGTATTTATAAGACAGGGCAGATCTGTCCTTGAGGTGCTGGGATTTCAAGTGTGGCCATAACTACAATCCTTGCTTTTTCCCTTATGTATTCTTAAAACCATTCAGGGGCAATCTCTGCCTCATACAAGAGCAATGAAGATACATGTGCTAATTCTTGGCTGCATGCTCTGCTAAAGATGAGTAAGATTCAGATATTGAAGTGTTTTATTGTGGCAAAAAAATAATCCCTTTTTAAAAAACAAATATTTGAAGTGATGCAAACAGAGCCTTACCAGCCATGACTGTAGTAGGTCCTGCCCACAGTAAATCCTGTTCCAGCACGTGTGGGAAGAAGCTTGTTCAGAGGGATTTTCCCACACCTTGGAAGCTTGGGAAAGACACATTCAGCCTATAATAAAGTATGAAACCCATACAAACCCCCTCTGTCCTGTCTTGTCCTTGCTCTTTTTTTACCCCATCAGTGCCCAAGCTTGGGGTGCCATTGCAGTGTGTTGGCATGGCCCCACATTGCACACACACGGTTAAATTACCCCTGCTCATTCTTTTATGAATGCCTTATCCAGTGTGATTATTTACCACAAGTATCTGCATAAGAAAAGGTGAAAGTGAATCATAAAGAGCATAGCTTAAAGGATATTTAACTTGCAAATCACTAGGTAGGCTTTGTGAAACACCGAGAATGCAGTTGGTACATTGCCTTGAGCTGTTACTCCTGCTGCTATCACCTGTCATTGCCCTGGTACTATTTGCACATAACCTCTCTTTCAAGTAATACTTGGTAAGCCAAAAAAGATAGCTTGCCCTTGAAAATCAGGTGTCATTATTGTGTGCCCCTGCTCTGGATAGGTTACAAATACATAGCCATTTGCAAAGAGCATTTCTCTAATGCATTCTTCCCACATTTTATTAATTCACATGAGGAATAGAAACTTTAAGCAGAATGCCATCTTTGCTGCAGTGAAAGTTAACAGCTTGGTGCACTACCATCTGTTTAAGGGAAAAATAAGTATCAAGCTGATGTTAGGGTTTAATACTATAATGATACTTTACATTGTGTGCCAGTTCTGAAGACAGAGTCATTTTTTGAGTAGATTGATCTCTTTTGGAGGTGCTGTAGGGCAGCAAGAATGGACAGAATTATTCAGTGTCTTTAGCAGGAAAGACAGGAAATATGTTACATAGGGGAAAAAAAAAAAAAAAAAAAAGAAGACAAAGGATGCTTGACAACATAGTCAGCAGAAAAGTCAAGGAAAACAGTGAGCACCTTGCCTCTGGCTGCTGAAGGTGAGATAGCAAGCAAGGGCAGTAATTGGTGAAGTGTAAAATCAGACTGCCAGGAGCTGTGGATGCCGCTGTACCATGGCTGCTGGTCCGAAACTTCTGCTGCCTGCCCAAGACCATACTCTTTCTGCTGGAGCTTTTGTCTAAATTTCTCCTACCTGCTTCCTGGAAGAAGGAGTGTTCTGTGGCAAGTCCAGAGGTCCCTTCCAGCCCCTACAATTCTGTGGCAAGTCCTCTTTCCCTTCTGTTTATGCAGTACCCAGCACCATGTTCATAACCACTAACGTTCCTGCAAATGGTAAATTTAATAATGACAGTACTGATCGCTTTCACTTTCTCACTGGTATTGTCTCTTTGACCATGACAGCCAAAAATATGTTTAAATAAAAGCCTGACTGTTTTCATTTAGCTCCCTGACCTTTTGCAATTGAAGTCTCTCCTGCTCCCGTCTCAATCAAGGATGACATTCTCCTTCAGTAGTAGATGATTCAAGTAATAAAAATCATATCAACAAAGCTTTACTTAGACACAAGGCAAACCTGGGAAGTTTAGAAAGCTATCTGCAGGGGTTAGTCATGGGCTGAGATTGCTGCTGCTCACATTTTGCCTACAGCTGTCAGTGAAAAGATATTTGTGGCATAGGGAGGGAAGAGTGGATGCCATCCTGCAGGTGTCAGGGAGCAGAACCTGCAATGCCCAGCTCTCCCATGGGATGGGAGCAGTCATCCTGCCCACCCACAGGTTTCACCACCATAGTCTGGTAGACTGGGTGCTACATCACCTTTGCACATTCTCAGTGCAACTCAGAAGCACTAAGAAGCTTGTAGGAATTTTGGGAAGATAATTTTATTGATTTTTTAATCCAAAATATGATTTATTCTCCAAAGTTGTTCAGATGTTTTTTCAAGAAAGTGAAATAGACCAAGGATAGTTTGAATATTTTTCCTCCAATTTTTTTCCCCTGTTGTTTTTCCATAATTCTTTTGTTGTAGAGCAGTATATGGGGAAGGCTCACCAGTGTCATCCACACAGTTAAAATGTGCAAAAAATTTAAATTTAAAATCCGCCAGGGTATTATTGTTATATGTAACCCTTGGGCACTGAAACAGTTAAACAGCGGAACATCCTATTTCACTTGTTGGGAGGTAATGATGCTTGAAAACAATGTTAGCCTTGTATCATTTTTTATCATCAAGGGCTGGGCATCCCAGTTTATATTCATAAAAATGAATATATACTCATTTTATATTTCTCTGCATGAAAAATGATTAACCTATAATGGAAGTTCTCTCTTGTTCTTTAAATGAAAAATTGATGAAAAAAACTTTCCACTGTTTTAGCCAGAATTTAGCCAGAAATAAAAGCATTACAGTCTATTCATAAAAGAAGTAGAAAAGGAAAATGCTTTGCAATACTAAGGGCTTTTCATCTGTTATGAGCGTAGGTGCTAAAATTATGTGTTATGTTGAAAATACAGCTTAACTGTCTGCATACAGTCTGATAACATGAACAAACTTCTCCACACCCCAGGCTGAAACAATGAGGTCAGTTTTGCTATTACTGATTAGCCATTAAAGTCTAACCAAGATATCTTACTGGTATTTGAGAAATTGTTCTTTAAAACCAACAGTTCAGTAGAAACCTGCAGGTGGAACAACTGTAAGTAGCATTTGATAGTGTTGATGACCTGAGAGAAGCTTTTGAGTAGAGCTTAGCTTTTGCATGTTGACAGGAATGAAGTAGTTTGGGTTGTGAACGTTGCTGGCAGCCTTGGTTGCAATGGCTGAGACTGGGAAGCTCTCAGTCCTGCAAGAAGGGAACAAGACAAACAGCAGAACCACAGCCTTGGTCTTCAGCAGAGCAGATGATGGCTTGTTCAGGGAGCTGTTGGGCAGGATCTCACAGGGGACCGCCCTGGACAGCATTATGAAGTTTGCAACGCCACACAAAGCAAGACTTGTCCTCTGAAAACCAGGCACATTAGGGAACATAGAGCTACTTTTTGATATAGCAGTGAAAAAGCTAGACAGTGTTTTAGTCATACTCAGGTGACTCAGTTCAACACACAAACAACTGAGTGAGATGTATCAGTCCTGGGTACACAAATCAGGTAAGATGATCTAATGGCCTTATATTTTGTGAATATGAAATAAACAAAAAAAAGTATCACAGAGACCTGCACAGAGTCTTTCTTACCCAGAAAAGGAAATTGAAAAGAAAATTATTTATCCTTAATGTCACCTTATCTCCTTGTTTAGTTGATGTATCTAAATCTCCCCCTGCTGAGACAGTTTCTGAGAAAGAGGGGTACGGTGTTTTGTTACCTGTCAACATTTTGCCTGGACAGCTCCTGGTGGATAAGCGATTCCATTTTTGGAGGTCTTGATGTAGTGCATAAAATTTTTGAATTTGCTTAATTAGGCCATCAACCTGTCCCTTTTAGTGTACCAGTGCAACAACTTAATGACTGAATAAAATACTTTGGGAAAAAATAAGAGACTGTTCATCTTCCATGTCATTACTTGGAATCCCTTGCACTCCTTAAAGGTCTATTTTCATGGGTGTGGCAGCAAGCAGAAGTGAGTGTCCATGAACCAAAGGAGAGGGCTGTACTATCAGAAGCTATAACTTGAGTGGGATATAATTCCCAGGCTGTCATATGAACAATGGTGAAAGAATATGTTGTGCTTAGGGATAGTTTCTAGTTCATTTACATGCATAACAGCTTTAAATAAGATTTTATATCCACAGATCACATGAAAACATTGATTCCATTATATTAAAATATATTTTATTAATAAATATTTCCCCTCTGTAAACATAACAGGATTTACAAATAAATACACATACGTTTTTATAAGTTACTGTACACATGTGTACACCTCAGCTCCGATTTTTTCTACATCATGTATTAACCTGTCCAAAGTTTTACAATGCAAGATTAGACAAAGCTCGCAAAATTTTATTATAAAAGTCGAACACAGAGTTTACCAACTGTTTTTTCCATGTGTGTCTTTAGATCTTCAGCATTTTTATCTCATTGAAAAGCTGTGAATTTATATGAGTTTTTGGTATATCACTCCTTTGCAGGATGTCACCAACATCTTCCCACTTATATCTTCTGTCAAAAATTTTCTATCCAATCATCTAAAAGCTTAAAGTGAGTAACAGTGCAGTATTCAGCTTAGCAATAGGCATGTGATATACCTTTTTCCAGCTCTGCTGCTACCTCTAACAGTCTTTTCATTTGCATCCCTCAACTGTAAGCCTGTCAGCACAGGGACTTACCTTACTTGCTCTAGCTGTACACTGCAGAAATAAAGATCTAGATGATTCAGCATGCCAAGTTTCACACAGGCTGCATGCTTTGTCTCAGTCTCTCCTGATGATAGCTGCACAGCAAAATTTCCTGTCTCCTATACATTTCATTTTCCCATGAAATTACGGCGCTATGGTTTCTTGACTAAACCTGAACTCAAGGCTCCTAGTGCTAAAAGCCTTGCAGGCAATGCACATCACTGCTCCAGCCTAAGTGCCTGAATTTGTTCCTCTCCCCAACCCCACCCCTAAAAATTTGGGTGGGCTAATTTGAGCTGGCAGTTCTGTCGTATTCTGGCTGTGCTTTAATTCTGTTATGTCTCCTGCTGGTATGTGTAATTTTACCCTGCTTCTTGGATTGTCCACTGAAGCTGCTCTGGCTGTGCATGTTCACAACTTCTTCAATGTTTCTGTGAGCAGTGAACTTTTGCTTTCTCTCTGGATACTAACACAGTCATTATCACACCACTACTGCTGGGAAAAATGCCTGACCTGCCACAAGGTAGCAGGAAGCAAGTGGTAGGACCAGCAGAGACCTGCTAAAAAATTGCAAACCACAGCAGGGCTACCATGAATGAGGTGCCAGCAAGGCAACTGGAAGTGCAGTGTAAAATATGAGTCAATGTACTCAAACCTGGTTCTGGGGTAAAGATACACCCTAATCTAAAAGAAGCCATATCAAACCTGCAACCACTCCTCACAATGGATCAAGTGTGCTGGATTTGCATACAGCCAAATCATCTGACAGATCACAACTATTAGCCAAACCTCATAATTGTTCTCAGGTTTAGCAAATACTTCTTCACAAAGTGAATAGATGATTTGCAACAGAAAACTGTGCATCTTATAAGCCTTCCTTTACCCTTATTTACTGACAGAAATTAGGTTAATGACGATAACTACTCCACTACTGGCTGTTCGAACATATTTATATTTCTACTTCTGTCGAACTTTGACAAAGCTCTGAATTATGCATTCACAAAAGAAGAGTGCATACTAACAAGGATGAACAGAACCATATTCAACCATAAGGAAAGGAGATATCCTTATGAATTTCACTTTTACATATACACCAACAATAAATTTCACCTACAAAGGATTATGGCAATAGAATAGTTATGGCCAAAACAAATGCGTTTAAATCATCAGTGGCTCTCACTAAAACGTAACAAACAAGCAAACAATGTCAGGAACTGAAGTTCCTCTGCTTGACAGTCTTGTGTTTTTTCTCTTCTGAGAAGATGCCCCAGCATTAAATGAAATACAGAATTAATGAGTATCTCAGTAATTTATAAACAGAATAAGAGTGTAAAAGTGCAAGTTTACTTCTCAAATGCTCCTTCCCAAGGAGGTTGTCAGTCTAAACAAATGCAAGATTTTCATTTGAGAAAATACGTTTATAATTTATGAACTAGGGTTTTTTGTTGGTTTTCTTTTTCTGAATACTCACTTGAGGAACAAATCTGACATGATTATTAAAATTAAAGTTAAAAACACATAAGTAACAGCCTGAGTTTAGACAGCAGGCAAATAAGAGATGTGAAGATCTCTAAAGATCTCTAGTCTTCCCATTGATTCCAAAATAGTGAGGCAAATAGCCATGGGAAAAAAAAAAACAAAAAAACAAACCAAAACAAAAACTGAAGTAGTTTTAATAACTTACTACAGCAACTGGCTCATTAGCAATGATGAAAATGTGTTTGGGAGGGATTTATTTGATCATGGAAAAACAACAACAGAAGTCTTTTAATTAAGTTCCAGAAAAGTCATTTTCAGTGCCTAAGATTGCCTCAGAAGCACCACTGTTCTGCCCGTGCAGTTTTTATGTAAGATTTTGTGTGAACTACAAAACATGCTTCTAAAATAGCTGTTTCCTGTAGGAAACAGGAAATAGATGGAATGTATATGAATACCTGAAACAGAATTAACAGCTACAGTCTCAGCCCTGGATCATTTTACATTTCACCAGTTCCAGTTCTTTTTTTACCATCCCATAGCTACCTGGGTTTGGCCCCATGAAAGGCTGTTTATCCATAATGCACCTTTAATTTAAAAGCTATTTTTATATTTCACAGTGTAACATAATCAAAGGGTTAAATGTGTTCTCTGCAGCTCATCTCTTAATGCATGAAAACATCTCCCCACCATACTGCTTAGCTTTGTCTTTGCTCTACCTCAAAACAGCTAACATCTCCTTCCCCATCCTCCTTCTGCCTTCAGCCAACAGTTCTTCCACGCTTAACTCCCCAGTCCCATCTTCCTCATGGCAGGAGCGTTCTTGATCATGTACTTTCTTCACAAATACACTCTTACCTACCACATAAGAATAAGAGCTGCTTTTGCCTCTCCACTACCCATTTGAAACTGGTCTTGCAGATAAAGGGAGAGAAGCATTTCAAACACATCATCTAGCATTACTGTCCTTTCATCCTGCACATACAGTTTAGCTCCCTTGCTTGTACGTTCCCTTTTATTGAGTTGTTTATCACCTGTTCATCATCTTTTAATGGTTTATAAATAGATTGTCTCTAAAACATTTCTGAAGGCAAACGCTTTAGTCTTTCCTTCTTTTTTTTCCTGATTCTGAATGTGCATAGTTGCAACTGACCACTCATTTTGAGCAATTACTGTCATTACTCATGCTGAATAGTAATAAGGCCTAATAACTTAAATACAACCATTCTGCTAAATAAACTGCTACTTACCATGTGAAAAAAAATACTAGAGTACAGTCTCACGTATCCTAAATAGAGACTTCCAGAAAAAAAGGAATGAAGGAACACAGTATTTAGCAAGACTAAGTTAAATGCAGAATTACAAAAAATAGTGCATTTGCTAAAGCACTGGAAAAGGACAACCAATCTCCAGAGATCGTATTAACTAAAAAGAAAGATGCAACTTCTATTACAGATTCAGTGAAAAGCAGATGTTATTGAAATAAATGACTATTCACTGTCAGAAATTTGCAAACGATCTTTTCTCACAGAATGCAATAGACCGCTCAGTAATTCCTTGAATACATGACTTTACCAGGTGGACTCCAGGGAGAACGCACTTCCTCCCCACAGGCAGCCTGGAGCTTCTTTTGCTTCCTCTCAAGCTGCTCTCTCCTCTCTGTCTTTTTCTAAGGAAGAAAAAAATGTTGTGTGAAAAAAAAGAACTCTACCAATGGAAAAGCCAGAATTATTGCTACACCTTTCTTGGATAAAACGAGAAGTTAACACACAATAGAGATTTGCCTTTTGGAGCTTAGCACATCCTGCTTAGGGATTCAGTCATGCACATTGCACAATACAACACAGAGGCTGCACACTTGATGTCGCTTACAATTAAGGTGACAGTCCCAAGGATGAGCTGGCTTTGTGCACTAGCTAAACAAAAAATGCAACAGAAGGCCTAGTGGATCAGGTATTGTATTTGTCTTGCATGTATTAGTCTCATCTTAATATTTCTTTTAAAAGGGTACTTACACAGTGCTAAATATCTCTCATTACATTAATTTTGATGCATCTGTGTAACTTTCTGTACTTATTAAATCACACTTGCCATGAGCTAATCTGGGAAGTAAACAATTATAAACAAACCTCCATCCATTTTATAAACATTGTAAGGTTCTGATGATATTTTCTATTGTTTCAAACAGCAGTGGTGAGTTAGGATGATGAAGGATAAGCAATACTTGCAATGGTATTTTTGTGCCTGATTAAAAATAATAGTAAATAATTGCTAATTAGTTTCTGAATAATAGGTCTCTTGAATATCATTAGTTAATGTCTTATATTGTTCTGTTCTACATAAAATAAGTATTCTTCTTTGTAAAGATACCTGCCATTTCATTGTTGTGGAGACCAAAAATTTAAGAGTGCATCTACCTTGGCAATTTAGTATACTGGAGAGTTCTTTACAGGTGCAAATTTTCCTTTTATCACACTTGTAGGTTTGTGGAGTGTGCATGAGCACACCACTTCCTGGCTTAAGGAATATTTCCCTCTTGGTGGAACAAAGGTTGACATTATGAATCAGAACATCACTTAGGAGTGTCCCATTAGACAGGTGGATAAAAAGGTCCTTGAGCTGTTGGCTTTCTAGCACACAAACAGTGCATGCCTAGGAACAGCAGATGGCATACACACCATTGGTAATAAAGATGCACTGTGGATATGCAGGCTTAAAATCTTAATCAATTTGCCAAATCCAACCTTGGTTCTTTCCTCTGTTGCAACCTATCAGCCAGTATTTTGAAGCACCATCGAAGCTTAATATTTTCACATGTGAACTACATTGCTGTGGAAGTACTGCTCCTTGAAGATAGTGGCACTCTTAGATAACCCACGATCCCATCCCTCTGAGGGACACTGCAAGATCCCATGATCCTGGCAGAGTCTTTCTGTTATTCATAATTGAGAAAAGAAATAGTGATGTTACTGCAGCTAAAGGAAGAGACTAGCAAATGGTGGTAGAGGAGTTATTGTAAAAGAGCTTGAGAGGAATTTTTCCTTATTTTATACATATACACCATTCAAACTTACTAATGCTAGCTACAATTGTGACATGTACAAAAATGTAAGAGTACAACATACACTAAAACATCAGCCCTATCAGTATGTTTTTAAACAAAGACCTGAATGCCTTTGTTAACATGAAGACACAATTCAGTTAGGAATATCTATCTGGTCTGGCTAAATCAACACACAATGATTTCATGTTTTTACTAGTAAAGCTGATTATAAGCAAGGCAAGGTTTGCATGGAGAAGTAATGCCCTTTACTAAAACAAGTGATACAGAACTGCCAGTCTGCTAAATAATATTCTCTCTCTGTACAAACTCTATCTTCCTGGGTTATAAGGGATAATTGAGACAAACTGGGCTCAAGTAGCACCATAAGATTCTGACTCCTCTTTTTAGATACGTTTCAGACATTCTTAAAGGGAACTGCTTAGCACCCTAAACAGAAATGAATCTGCATTATCAGTGATACTTCTCAAAAAAAGATGAAAATATATGTGAGCTTTGGAAGCATATTCTCTATAATGGAAGAATATTCTCTATAACGTAACATGTATGATTCATGCTCCTGTTTGGTGTATTTGCACATATCCTGCATATGTACTTTTACAAACATTTAATCTTATTCTACCAATCTTAGAATCTGGATCTGTATTTGACATTCAAAGAGACATTAGAACAAGTAATTGGAAATTCATTAAAAATAAGACTTATTGTATCAGTAGTGGTAATTACATGAGAAATAATGTCTTAAAAGTATGCATATTTCATGTTTATAAAGCACTCTTTACTGAATACATGTTGCACAACCGATTCATGTAGGAAAACGCCAAACCAAAGGTGAAGCATACACTCACCCAGGAAGGGACTTAAGGTTGGTTTGGATTTTTTAAATCACGTCTCTATTTTATATACTTGGATTTGAAGATCCCATGTTCATGAATGAATCTTGATGCTAAGCAGAGAGTCTTGGGTTAAGTTAGCTGTTTTTTTTTTAAAGATAAATTTGACAGGAAGCCTTGCTGACTTCTTCCCTGCCTTCAACACACACCACGCTTTTTATGTTCTCATCCTGGCCACAGTTCACATCTTCACAAGACATAATAAGTGATATAAATCTTCCCTAATACAATAAATAAAAGGTTATTTGCACTAATGAGAGAAGAGCAAAAGAAATTTTGCAAGATGAAAACTAGAACCACAGTTTGTCATACAGCAGATGAAGTTGATTGGATTGATTTCTCTGTTTAAAATTTTTCACTCAATAGCCTGGTAAGAGGAATACATTTTTCACTTAGAAAATTCTGGGAAGATCAGGTTTGTTAGCAGCGTGACTGTCACATAATAACTGAATTTTAGATAGTACAGAAGACTTACAACATTTTAATATTATTCCTCTAACAGCCATATTTCAAACATATTGCAATACCAGGAGATTAAGATTCCAATATAGAAAGTATTTTCAGATAGATCTTATTAAACCACATGAAATGAATAACTCACATTAGCTGTTTGTAACCAAGAAAAACAACAATTCCATTAGACTCATCCAATACAATATCACTTCTTGATGTTTTTTAACAGTATTAAAGTGCCAAAAATATGTGTTGAGCATACTCAACCTCAAGGTAAAATTTCAAACTTCTAGGAAATCATAACCTTACTGTATTGATTTTCAAGAACTGTAAATCTGAAAGAATGCACAGAGCAGCACTACTTCTCAACAATTCAACTAGGTTAACCAAGTACAATGGAGAACATAACACATTTAGGATACTCACTTTTTTCTAGGTTCTTGCAAAAAAAGCATTTAATGATTAACATCTAAAAAAAATCCATCATAATAAACTTTCTACATGATTCTCCTGTATGTTCCACTTCTCAGACTAGGTGCACGTCAATGACAAATGTCAGACACTGGTAGTAAAAGTAAAAAGTACTAAGTAAAAGTAATCATTTAATCAAGAAATACATCTAGATTGGCTTGAAGAGTACTTGATGACTAGTAAGAGGCAAATATTATGAAAGAAATAAAATGAAAAAAAAAATCAGAAGCTTAACCTTTCTCAGCAATACTAAAGTATCTCAGCTCAAGATTATCCTTTTTATGTTAGTATTCTACACATTAATAGCCTTTTTCAGGGCATTCGTTTTCATGCCTTAAAAAAATATGAATCTTCTCTATTAAATTGAGTTATCAAAGATCGACACAATGTCCTCTAAAAGTATCTGTAACAGAATTTCCATTATCATAACAGCAGAATGTTTCTTATAGAACTTACAAGGAGGTTTTAAAACTTCTGCTTTAACCATGCATTATGATCAACACTCGGTTCAGGAAATTTGAGGATGAATTCACACATTTATTTCTGCTGAACTGCTAATGAACAAAAGATAATAGCATACTTCCCACTGTATTACTCTTATTTTATTTCCCTTCAAACAAAAATCCCTTATTTTAAAGAATACATTTAAGACTCTCAAAATCCTGCCCTCCTAGATTTGACAACAGTTTATCTATCTGCATGCAAGTATCATCTGCACTCTCTTGATAATAAATTGATAACTTTAAGTGTTTCTCTCTGCAGTTCATTGAAGGTGTGTATCTTCTCTGTTACTATACAAAGTGAAATATTATTCCAGCCAAGGAACATAAGGAACAGAGTCATTGCTGATATGCTATTTGAAATAAAGGTGTGTTAGCTGCAAAGCAAACAGAACAATCTCATCTATCACCAGAGAAAAAAGCAAAAAATCTACTTGAAACTCTTGAAAAGACATTTTTTTTTTTTATAGTCTACCAATGGTTTAAATGAGCATGTGTAAGGATCTCAAGCCAGCTGAGTTGCAGGATCCTATTCTTATGAATGGTAACAGAGCCCTTATGTACCGGATATATGCCAGAAATCACAAGGAAGAGAGATAATGGAAGAAATGCTCTCAAACTAAGAAAACTTTGGAAGTCAACATGATGGATGACTGTGGCTTAGGCTGAGGATGGAAAATGCAGATTTTTCTTTAACTAGCAAGTCACACATATTTAAGAAAGTATATGCAAAGAATATTAGCAATCTCTGCTCTAGTTTGCCTTTATATTGCAAGGAAAAAAATATTGCCTTATTGTTGGGACTGGACTACCAGATTAGTTTACTGCTTAACAACTAGGAATAAAACATGCTGTTATAGGGAAAATATAATTGGCAACATTAGAATTTTGCCCTTTCTAGTCAATAAAAATAATCTCAAACCTCAGTGTAACTGCTTTTATCAATTCAAGGATTCCCCACTCTAAATGTTGCCTTGAAGGCAAATGCCTACACTGCTGCAGCTGGCAGTGCTGCTAGCTTTTGCTGGTTTTGCGCTGTAGTGAGCTGGCAATTCAGAGACGGCTTCTCCTGACATGGAATGGAAGAAAAGACTATGAAATTCAAAACTCTAAGTCATGTAGGTAGGAAGAATATATTTTCCATGTAAGCTAAAGATCAAGCACACCATATTTTATCATTTTGTTCAAGAGTATCTGAGGACTAGCTATGTAATACTGCCATCATCTGGCCTCTTGTAACAGCATGAAACAGCAAGAATATTACATTACCATATAAAAGTATTCACACTCATTACTACATTATTATTTTTTTTTTACATAGCGAAAAAAAAAATAAATTACCAGCCATCTTTCATATTCTTCAATAGCCTTTTTATCTTTTTCGTCCTTCTTTGTCTGTTGTATTTCTTGCTTTCTTCTCTCTAGGACTTTTTCTGCCTTCTTTTGTTTTATATATTCTTCCTTTTTTTCATTCCTGTTTAGTGAGAAAGAAGAATAGGAGATCACTGTGTAAGTCTAAATCCTGTATCTGTGACTGATTAACTAAACTGAGTCCAAAGAGATATTTTACGCATTTAATAACAGATCAAGAATATACATATATATTTATAAATCTTTGATGTCTGTTTTCATGTAATTTAAGACCAAAATTTAAATGAAACTATTATTCTACCTACTATGGCATCGTTTTCTCTATACTACTTTCCCCCTTATCTGGTATCATATAAAAATTAGATGTAAAAGTTCTGCAGGTAATACAGTAAATCGAACTCAGTCTCTGAAAACTCTTGGCTTGTAAAACTAACAAAGAATTCCTTCAGCAGACACATCTCACTTGCTTTTGAATTCAGTTACATTCATGCAATTTATTCCAAAAACTTCTTCCTTCCTCTTGCTTACTAATGAAGCACGAGACTAGTCACACAAGACATCGTACTACTTGGTGAATCTTACTTCTCAGTTGTAGTACCTCTGCCTGGGCTGAGTCTTTTGGGGAAGAAATTATTTAAGTTACTAAAACAAAAGAAGCTGTAGAATGTGTTCTCACTGACACTGTGCTTGCTCACTGAGATTGAAAAGCCTCATCCCAAGCAAGCCATTGTTTCCCAGTCACAAGCACATCAAGCACTCACAGAAGACCTACTGCATTTATAAGCAAAGGTTCTGGAAACTGATATGCCAGAACTCAAAGGTAGTACCATTTTTCAACTGCTGATACGTTGTCTTTCTTTTTTTCTTCAACCAATTCCTCTTCTTTCCTCTTCCTGATTCTTTCAGACTGTTTTTCCTTTCTGCTTTGCTCTCTTAAATATTCTGCTTTTCTTTCTTTCCATTTTTCAAATGCCTAAAGAAAATCAAGGATTCATCAGAAATCTTCCCCCTCATCTTTTTGTCAATGCTCTCCTCACTTACACTGGATTAATATTTTTGGTATTTCTTCATGTTCAAATTTTGGAATATTTGTTTGTTACATTGCTCAGAAGGGCATTGCTCATTATATTTAAAAAGCATGTTATTTTCCCTACTACACAACAATTCTTTGCCAATGCATTTATATGGAGTTTATTTTGTATTTAGCTAATAGAATCTAGATACAGAGAAATGCTTGCCTGTGTACAAATGTTTGTACATTAAATATTTCCAACAGAACATTAAATATTTCCAACAGAATGGAATCTCACCATATTTTCTTCAAAGATTAACTATGCTCAGATTTTAGAATCCAGTTCATTCCATCTCTTGCTGGATTAACCAGAATTATTATCAGCAATTTCCTGAACTATATCTGAACCACCTTTATGTACATATTTCACATTACCTTCTGTGCTGCTTCCATTTTCTCTGCATTCTGTTCTTCTGCTTTCTTTCTCTTAAGTTCTTCGAGCTTCTTTTTTTCACTTAACTTCTTTGCTTCTTTTGCTTTCATCGCTTTCCAGGCTTCAAAAGATGCAATTGCTTCCTTTCTTTTAATATCTTCTTTCTAGATTGAAAATAACATTCTACATTTAAATATGCTTAAATATAAAATATATATATATCTGTAGTTGAAAAGTATGCTTTAAACTCATTCTCAAATGTAGGATTAGATTCAGCAATAAAGAAATGGATTTGTAGAAAACATTCCAAGTAACACTCAAATTTAGACTATATAGACTTTTCTATGCTCATTTTTAACTTAACTCACTCAAATTATACAAATGACTTTTGCAAAATGTGTAGAAGAACATGAAATACGTATTGAATACTTAAAATGCAAACATATTAAATACTTAAAAACCCAATCTAACAACTGTATATGTAAAATGTAGGTAAGAATCTTTTGGGATAGGGAGCAAACTCATTTTCCACCAGAAGATATGTTAAAATGTAATGTGTGAAAGGTTGAGTATCCCAAGGTCATTGCAAACAAACCTGAAACTTGATCTAATTAATTTAAGAAGAACACTTTTAACATCCCTGGTGCAAAGGTGTAGGGAAGCATTAGCCACACACCCTTTCACACAACCATAACAATCAGGACATTAGAATCAGTTTCTAATTGGAAACATTGTTTCCAATTAGAGAAAATCAGAGGCCATACAGTAGCAGACTGATGTAATTAGACACAAAGCACAGGTAAATATACTTCAGAGAATGATAGCTTGTCAAATTCTCCTTAAACAAGAGTGTAAACAAACCTTTTCAGTATCGATCCTCAGATTTTCAGCTTTTTTCTTTTCATTTCTCTTTAATTCCAGTAGTAAAGCTCTTTTCTTTTCCAGCCAATTCTGTAAGAATATTAGAAGACTTTTACACTTTGAAAGTGTTTTTAAGCTGTAACTAAAGATGTTCGGTTAAAACAGGTGAATATTATTAGAGCAGCACCAATATAATGACAACCAGAATCACTCCCAGTTCTTCCATGTGCTACTTTAGCAATCACCACACATGGAAAAGTAAGACATGGTTCAAATTAAACTATTTTAAGGACCTTCATGACAGATTTTTTTTGGTGTGATTTTTTTTCGTGTTAAGTAAAGTCTAAGGTTCTACAATGATTGCTACAAATGTGAAAAACCTTAAAGATCTTTAATAAAATCTCTTAAAAACATCAACTAGATGTAAGCATTAAAAAAAAAAAAAAGAAATATGGAATATTCTTATTACTCGGGATACAGGATTATTGTTTAGATTTATTGTCTCTCTTGCAAATACATGTAACTGAAGAGTCCAACAAAGTCTAACTGGGAAGAGTGAGACTCCAGGCACTGGTATGTGTTATGAGTCATTTGCAGAGTCAGACTTCAATTGTAAAGGTTTAATTATATATTTGGTATGCTGCTTAAAAATATGAGTGTCCTAAATGTAACCTATTCTACCTTTAAAACTATGCAGACTACAGGTATGAATTTCAGGCTCTAAATTTTGGGTTAGAACCATAAATAGTATTACAAACATATACCAATATGAACAACATCTATTAACAAAAGGAACGTGTATTTTTCCTCACACATATTAGTAACAAAAATCTTTTGGAACCCACATACGAATTGTGATGAAATTCTATACGGAATCCACACAGGTTATCCTTCCAGAGAGAATACTAGACTTGTTTTTACTTCTCCTAAATGGCAACTGAATAGAACATACCAGAAAAAAGAAATTTTAAACAAAGCACTTACTTTTGTTAAGGAAAAATTAAAAATAAAGGAAAATATCTTACATGTCTGAGAATAGTCTGACACAAAATTAGATAACACAGTATGTCCCTCTCATCTAGCTTTTAAGTTTGCAATTTGATGAAAGGGAATGGCCACTGGAATAAAAGTATTATTGAATCTGTAAGCATATGAAAATAAAATACACAACAATATTGATTTCATGAAAATAAGTGTTGTTGGCTCCTATAAGACCTTTATATGCATAGGAGATTTTAATTTTTTTTTATTTTGTTGTTTGTTTAAGATCTACCTGGAAAACAGCTGCTCGTAAACTATCTGCTTTCTCAAATTCTCTACTGTTCTTCTGCAAGTGTTTATTCTCCAACACCTTCAATGTTCCCAGGTATTGAGATGAAACAGCTGTAGCTGATGGAACAGCTTTTGCTTTTTTCTTTAAGTTTGCAGAAGACAGAGACCTGTAAAGACAGAAACATATTAATCATCCTTTCATTTACTGTAGCTGCTAGCAAGCAGCTTTTATTTCACTTGATACCAGAACTTACTGTGATTCAGTTTGTACATGCACTTGTGTGGGGATATGAAAGGAGGAAAAAGCACGTTTTCTTTGGGCAGGTTTATTACTGAGAAAACAAGCCATTATTCAACATATTCAGCCCAAGAGCATTTACAAGCTCCCTATACTTTCATCTCTAAAAAAGCTTAAAACCTGTTAAGATAACACAAATTGGATTTACTGGTGGACACGAGCACATACTCATTATAGAAATTGACAAAAGACTTGGAGTCTAATCCGACAGAGGAGATACTGAGCAAGGATTATAATAACATCTTATCTCCTATGGTATCCTCCACAGATGGTCAGAAGTTGACAGCAGTTAAGAAAATGCTGTCAGAAAATGAGAGCAAAGTGGCATTGTCAGGGCACCTACGTACATCTTATGCTCCATAGACTACGATAGACAGCATTGTTCTCTCACCTGCAAGATGAAGGTTTTGATTTTTGTAGAACTGTTGCCTTTGTTTCACTTTGTTTCTAAGAAACACAAAAGAATAGTAAAATTTCAGTCTCTCAGATAACAGAACTAGCTCAGGATGACACAGATTTTAAAATTTAACAAGGATGTTAAACATACATACTCATGAAAGCCACTCAAATACAGAAAGGGCACAGTACAATACTGTAAGAAAGTTAAAAAAAAAAACAACAAAAAAAACAAACACCACCTTTTGGAATGTTTGGAATGGCATCTAGAAATGTTTCTTTGTATTATGTTGAAATATAGTCTATAGTTTATAGATACAAAGGAATAAAAAAAACTAAAGGAACAGTGGGCTCCCCTGTTATATCAACATTCTTTAAACTGTTTTTAATATTTACCTTTAACAGTTACATATACCTACATATTTTCTTTCTTATGATAAGGTGTAAAGTACTTTGCCTCTTATTTTTTAATTAAGTCACACAATGGATTCCATCCTCTGTCAACATACACGGATCATTTCAACTTTTCAATCCTCAAAATAGAGATTTGGCATTTTAACTTCCATAAGGATATTTAATTAAGATTTGAAAACACACATTTTACTACCTTTGTCTGTTTTAAACTCTTTGTGTGAAGGGTATTCCCTACGTCTTCCTTTAAACTATCCATAAACTTCACCATAAAACTTCCTTAAAACTATCCAATTCACTGCACCAACCCTGTCTGAATTTAAGAAGCGTTTGGACCGTGCGCTTAGTCACATGGTCTAAACTTTTGGGCAGACCTGTGCGGTGCCAGGAGTTGGACTTGATGATCCTTATGGGTCCCTTCCAACTTGGGATATTCTATGACTCTATGATAATTCGTAAGTGCCTTGGGTCTAAAACTTTTACAAGCAGAGTTTTACACATTTAAGGTACCAAGTGCAAATTTCTTTACAAAACTTTTCATTGCACTTCTCATTGTTTTGAACAATAGTAAAAACACATATAAAAAATACCTTGACAAAGTCCTCTGAAGTCATCTTCGACTCCACATGTTCAGACTGACCATCTACTGACGCTTCCTGTGCTGTATCAGTTTCTATTTGCCCTTGCACAATGTTCTCCTGTTCATCTGAACTGTCATCTGTTGACTTCTCTGATTTCTTTGTTTTCTCATCTGCTGTCGTGGTCATTGCTTCTGTCACAGAAAGGGTTTTGCTAATATTATCCTCCAGTTTCAAGTCACTGGGGCTGGTATCCTTCCTCTCATCTAACAGGAGTAAAAAGATTAAGAGGACACATTCGCTTAGACAATATGTTAAACAAGTATTTCATGGTTTCTCATTATTGTTATTTCTGTACAAGAAACATATTACTGAATTTCACATAGGATAATGTGCTTACTATATACAACCAAAGTTTTAACAAGTATAAGAGCATGATAACAACATAACTTCCCAGTTGCCTCTCCACGTGAACTTGGCTATAGAGCAGAAACCAAAAGCAAGAGCCATTCTGATCTTCACATCTAGAGAAGTCTACTCTACTACTAAGGTCTGTATGACAATCTGCGTAAAGAAAAAAAAAAAAATCTATGTGTTGTTTTACGGGAGTGTGGGATGCACAAGGATATAATGGAAAGGTTATTTCTCACCTCAGTGGTGAGGATTTAAGCAAAATGTCATGTCAATTTAAATGCATGCCTAAGTGGTGAAATTGCCAGTTAGGAAGCACTTTTTCAATAATACTTAAAAACATTTTTATCAGATCTGAAAATACATTAATAGAGACCTAAATTTGTCAAATAGTTAAGATACAAACCAAGAATATCTATGATAAATACCAAGTTACAGTCTTCTGATGAAAAGAAGTAAGTTTTGGATGAAAGTAACTCCAAGTTAACTGAAGAAAGGAGTATTGATGCTGACAATGTAAGAAATTTAATCACGGTGATGAAGGTAGGTTCCAGGTGACAAAGAAAATTCTGAATTTGTATAAACCATTTTTTATCTTCTGTTGATATGTAACCTTTCATTTTTCACTTTAAGCTTATTGCTAAGCTAGTATAACAACTGTATACAAGCTGTAGGCATCAGAAACTAGACAAGTGTAGTTAAGTTGCAGCAGTCGGTGTGCAGGACACTGTAGACAGCTGATTTACTTTAGACTTCTGACTATATTGTAGCATGAGCTTCACTGAATTTCATGTATAAGTCAGTTTAGCTCTGTTTGCAAAACAGATACAGAGGATTAACCATAATGAAAAAATGCCACGTAAAACCCATAAGCATTGTTGTAGTTTCCTTAGAAGTTCTAGCTATACCATTTTTATTAGTCTGCTTGAAATCATTACACTTGCACACTTTAGCATCAAATTGAAACCCTTATTTTCCAGTCCCTTTTCCACCACTTGACACCAGCACCTTAACATTCTTCTCCATTTATGCTGTCCCTCCTCATGGAGAATCTACACATTCCAGTACACTGATGCTCATATCCTTTTCCCCATACAAATTCCTCCTTAAATATTGTTTTATTAACAATGCTCAATGTACCAGCAAAACAAAAAAGAACTAAATGTTTAAAGAAACAAAAATTAAACACAGATCTCAGTATATTTGCTATTCACTACCCAGTAATGCTGTGCTTGACTTTTCAACTTCTGTTCACCTTCCTATACTCAGTTCTTCAAGCCAAGTCCTAACTTTGATATCATTAGGCTGCAGCCCAGTGCACAGACATTACATAGGCCACGCCAACAGCATTTTCCTCACTGTATCCAACAGGCTATGTTACTTGTCCACTGGAGTCTTACACACAAAGTACTCCCAAGCATGATAACCTTAACCAATATGAAAGGTGTTCAACAGCCCATTCCACTGCTTTTCAACTTGGGTACATTCCGTTTTTGTAACACAGATTTTTTTGTCTGACAAAGGAGACTAAGAAATACCCCCAGAACTGAAAAACAATACCAGCCTGAAGAAGAGAAAGGCTTATCCTAGTCATGTTGATGGCAAAGAAGAAATGAGATTAAAATGACTTGTTTTAAGTCTCAAGGATGCTTAGGCAATGATGCCAACACTTGACTCAAGTCAAAAGTGCAAATTCACTTCTCAGACTTCGATCTGTTCCTCTCCAATCTTAGGACATTTCTAGGACCTAATTTCTAACTACTTGGGTTGATACTACACTTAGACATAATGGCAAGAATGAGGCTGGGCCTTTCTTAGAAGCAGAATACAAGGAGACATGAGGGCAAGAGAAAGATACTAAATGAATGTAAAGGATGAAATTAAGAAAACCATTGATTTTAAGAAGACTTGAACTGGAAGCTTAGATGTTACCAAGGTATAAATTATGACATTTATCTGGCTGTACATATCTAAGTTCTACCTTGTGAAAGTGGTGTTTCTCCACACATCTGTAAATTGGAGTCTTCAGATCTCTCATTGTGGGAAGTAAAATTAATGGAAAATGGTAGTGAAGTACTTTCTAGCCATGGACCCTTAGATCAGAAAGCGGCAAATAAACAAGTGAGCAATTCATAACAAATCAGAACTATTTAACTTGAGTTTATAATACACTGATAAAATGTTTTTTCAGAACTCTCCAAGTATAATTACTGCCTCACATTCAGAGAAATAAAACCCATCAACCCATTTCTGAACAGCTGCAAAACATAACAAAATCCTGTTTCTAGTTAGAAAGAAAATGAATGATGTTCTCTTATATGCCCCTCATTAGCATTTCCAGAATGCTATTGGAAATGTTTTTTTTCCCCACTCCTATATTTCTTACAGAAAATTTTGACAGCTAGTAAGTTACTTTTTAAAGTTTCCAATGTAAATGGTAAAAAATAAACACATATACTCTTCATTCTCAGTCTTACTTCAGGACTAGGGCTTTCAGCAAACACTTTTTTCTCAGACGAGGCTGTAGTATTCAGAGAAGTTAGGGATGACGGTGCTGAAAACGAAGACAATCCACGTCTAGGAGTTACTTCTTCTGACTTACTAAATTCATTGTCTTTCATGGGGCTACTTTTTCTCCTGGCACTTCTTGGTTGAGGTGATGCTTTGTAACAGCCACCTACTGAAGGAATGCTGATATTCTCAGATGAAAATGAGTATTATAGTTTAGGTTATGTCTAATTAAAGACATTTTAGTATGGAACACTATTTTGTCAAGTTAGATTCAACTTTTTTCAGTTAAACAAGCTATTTAAATAGTACATCTCTCTTAACATGGGGCTAAATACAAGCAGCTATATAAGGGATTACTGACATTTCAGAAAGTTTAATGGAAGTTATAAAGCTTATAACACAATTTCGTAGACAGAAAATCTAGAAACTTTTTTTTTCCCTTTTTTTTCCCCATTTATCATTCTCTCTATGTATATATTGAAACTACATGTACATGTAAGAACTTATCTGCAGTCAGAGACAACTGAAAAGTTTTCATAAACAGAAAAGAGAGCGTGTATGTAACAGCACTGTTGTAAGAAAACCTTTTTGTTATTCTGCTTAACTCTCTTTATCTACTAGAGAAAATATAAAGGGAAGACTGCTTCTCTCCATATGGTGCAGAGCAGAAAAACCCTGGGTAGAAGAAGACATCATGAGAAATGTGGTCAGAGGAAGGCCCACAGTATACATCCACCTTCGTCAGTGATGTCTCCGTTCCTTCCCTAAGTCAGTCACTGAGCAGCAGATCTACTATGCAATGGTTTCTCAGAGATTTCTATCCTTTGGCTCCTAAACTTCTTCCAATCTTCCTCGCATTTTCTCCCCCCTACCCTGCCACTGACAAGATCAACAGCTTTCTATGTGCCTTTTGCTTGATGTATGTAGAGACACATGGAAACACATATCTAATTCTGCAGACTGACACGGAAGAATTACCTATTAAGTCCTTGCTCATATACACCTATCACAGGAAATGAGAGAATCACCATGGCCATTCAGCACATTCAGCAGTGTAAAGCCTAATTATACAGTTACAGTGAAGTTTGGAGAGCTGAGAGGTCACAACAATATTCTTACAAGTGACTTATGGCATGGCAAAACTGTCAGTGCACACTAACATCAAACGAGCAGACAAAGCTGGTAAGTCTTTTGTTGATGGAGTCCTCTGTTGGCTAGGGATGTATTTGTCTAATATGAGTAAGTTCACAACAGTTGACCATTGAAGACAATATACCAGCATTTACATGAGGAAAATGTTTTTTCTCCAATGTTTTTTCTGCCCATGTAAAAACTACACAGGCATTCTGGCCATGAAAGAAAGACATCTAGAGTGCCTAGCTGCACAATCAAGTATCTGGCACTTTGGTGCCATCATGTGGAAAGAAAAAAAGTAGTAGATACCACTAATTATGCTTTATCAATTTCAAAGTTGTCATCTTCCATCACAGGTAATGATCACCCATAAATTCCTCTTGAAAAAAAACCAAAAACTGTATAATGGAAACAGTGCACAGAAAATTCTTCCCATACTGGCAAGCAGGTAAAAAACATTAAGTCTTTCAACTTCTAAAATTTTTGAAAGTACATACAGCCAACTAGCAGAATTCTAAGTTTTGCTTTGCATATTATAAAATAAATTAGCTCTTATAATGAAACACTGAAGTCCTCTTTATGTCACTAAACTTTTTTTTTTTTTGAATATGCATCCAAAGTAACTCAGTAGCTACAAAGTAAAAGATCATTTTAAGTCCTGGCTTTGTGGTGGTAAGAAGTCTAGCACCCATAACATTTTGGTTATGGCTCATATTCTGACTTTCTATTACACAACAGCAGCATGAAATCTCAGCATCACGACTTCAACACTGCATTTGTGAACACTGTGTTCCAGCTTCATTGGCCGTGGAGAGGAAGGCCTGTTTAATGACCTTTCCATTAATAGGTGGGTGGATGCCATGAACATCGTGTAAACATGGCTCTCTGTGTTATGCACACATGGAGGAGGCAAAGCTTTAGCCCTCCCACACCTTCCATGCAGAGGTACTGATGGAAAAGTAAACTTTAAGTACCGAAATGGCTGGTTTCCATCTCCTGAAAGGAAAAGACAGATAGGGAACTGCTTGATACTTGACCCACCATGGGTCAGATTCACATCCAAGCAGGTTATCAAAACATGTATTATTAGAAGAACATTAAATAAATACATCAAAAGTCAAAACAATTGAAAATATACTTAACACATAAAATAACCCTAATAACAACACATTTTAAATAATATAATATGGCTAAGCAAGCAACAGCAACAATATTCAAGTGCTTTCTTTTCACCTGATGCTGATGTATTTCTTGTTTTGTGCATCCTTGGCTTTGGTATTGGTTTCTTTTCCTTTTGATCCAGTGTAATAGCCTTTCTTTCTTTCTTTAGTTCAGGCATAGGCAAATCATTGCAGTGGTCAATCTCACTCATATGACACTGCAATTCAGCAGCTGAATGCTCTTCATTATTTTTTCTGTCATTGTCTTCATTTTCACTTTCCAAACAGTGCACTTCATTTATTTTGTCATGTATGTTTTCACTTTCTGAAAGTGTTTTTTGCTGAAGTTTCCTTTCATGAAAGGATAAACTCAAGTCATCAACACCTTCATTTTCCAAGTCAGCTGCTTTTTGTGATGCACCATCATCTGAGGGAGGACTCTCAGAATCAACAGATTTCTTACTGCTGTCAGCATCTGAATTGCTTTTATGACGTTCCTCCACAGTATCTGAAAATAGTATATTAGCAGTTTTTGAGACAAATGGAAAAATACAGAACACAGAAACTATATCTTCTATGATTTAAATGTGTTTTTCATATAATTTTCTTATATTTGAATATACTTTCCACTCCAAAGTTAAGGTTCACATGTTTTTTAAAAATATGTTTATCTTTCTGTAGACTGTTATTACCAATTTACATTATTTCAGATTCAAATACTCAAGAGAGATGACAGAAAATGCTGTCATAGTTGAGTACAATATTTAATCCACGAGGAGCTTCTTTATAAAACTTGTCTGCACAGGGAAATCAAAGCATCCCACCGACTTTTAAAAGATGCTTCAAATGTAAGCAAAATCACAGGTATTACATACATTTAGTCATTTTAGAAACACATTACAATATTCAGGATTCATACTTCTCTTAATATGCAGCACTGTATCAGGAATTCACCATATCAGTCATTAGGTCAACCTAATTAGCCTAAACATAAACATTACCAAGTATCAAATGCATCCTGGCCCTGGAAAAATTGCCAGACCAAACCTGTTGCTGGCTTGCTTACACTGCCAGGCAAGCATGCTCTGCAGCACATCCTGCATCTCAGATTGTCCTGTCTGGTAAAACAATAAAGCAGCATTATGGCTTTCTCTCTGACCACGTCAACTCTTTTCTCTCTGCCCACTTATGGTACTGTGCACTGTCTCATCCAGGTGCAGATTTAAAAACTTGGCTTAGATGTTTCATAGCTATAAGAAACAGCACATACTGTGTCTAGTCTAGCAGGTTGGCAACACCCCTAACTTTGCCAGGAACACAGCTCCTAATTTTGTAGTGTAGGACTAAGTGCTTCAGAAATTGATAGAATATGAATCTTGGAACATTCATGCATATTGACTCACAAAGATTCCTTGTGATCTACTAACGAGTTACGAACAGAAAAAAAAGCAGGTGAAAATTTTTAATTCTGTCTTACCATTTAACATGTCAACTTCTTCACTCTCAAAGTCGTCTGAGTAAACAGCTGTTTGTTCCCTTGCCGCATGAGCAGAAATTGCTTCTTGTAGCTCACCCTGAAATGGGATTGCAAATAACTTTCATACAGAAGTTTCGCTTCTTCAGCACAAATCCCCTCCTCCAACACATGCATAAGGAAAACTGTGCAACGGAGATTACCCCATTTAACGTTAAATTCCTAAGAAGAGTAAGTACAACACAGTGTTTTCACTCCATCCTCATTCTCCCCATTTTTAAGTGTTAAAAATGCCTCCACGTACTCAGCAGCGTGGCCAGCTGAGGGCAGCCTTTGCCCATGAACTACACGTCCTATTTTCGCTCGTCAATTTCACCTGCAAAGCCGCTGGGCAGGACGGGGCAGTGCTACAGCCACCCCTCCGCAGCAGGGGAACGCAGGCGCGCAGAGACCCCCCCCGACTCGCCTAAAACCCTAACAGTGCCTTGCGGGGGGATCAGAGGAGGCAGCAGCCGAACGAGGCGCCGATCCCAAGCTTTCCGCTCCCCCCCGATGCCCAACCACCGCCTTCCCCTGCACACCCGACCTGCTCCCGGGGCCTGCGGCTCCCCTGCGCCGCGCCTCTGGGCGCCCCCGCCCGCCTGCCGCCGCCTTGCCCCGGCATGGCGCCCGCCTGCCGGCCCTGCGCCTTGCGGCGTCCCGCCTGGCTGCGGCCCCGGGCCGCGGGCTGCCTTGGGCCGCCCCGCATGGCCGCCTGCTCCCGCACGGCCGGCCCCGCCGCCCGCATTGCCCGTCGCCTGGCGACGCCGCCGCGCAACCGGGAGCGGACAAAGGGCGGGCGGAGGCCCGGGGGTGGGGGCCCAAGGGGCCGCCGCCCCGCTGCGGGCTGTGGGCTGCGGGCTGCGGCCTCCGGCTGGGGAGGGCGGCAGGCGGCGGGCCCCGGAGGTTATGGGCACCGCCGAGCGCCCTCTTTCTTGCCCGAGGCGCTCCCTTTGTTTGCTGGTGCCGTTCTGCTTGGGGTTTTTATTTTCCCTGTCGTCGCACTCTCACTCCGTACCACAAGAATAAAATACTGTAAAAACCCTTCATGCTTTTCCTGAAGGGGTTTCTACTTTCTACTGATTAGGCTGGAGATAGGGCTCAGCAGTGGGTACATCTATGCATCTAAATTTGGGCTGAAAACCTACTTCATCTGTGCTTTGCAGAATATATGAGGGTTTGAGAACCCGTGCCTATGTCCTACGTGTAACCCGCATAGCTGCTACCATGCGGTGGATACACGCGCTCCACTCCGTCCATGCCACTGCAGTAAGACTGGAGGGACACATTTTCATCCACCCCATTCTCAGAGGCAGGTGGCTGTCCAAAAACTTCCACTATGGATTCAAGTGGAGAGCTCTTTCTCTAAGGAATGAACTCCCTGTAGCGCTTTCTGAAAAAAAAAAAATTCATAGAACCCATGCATTAGTTTGAATGAAATCCTAGGGATGAAGGAACAATAGTGACATCAAAGTAAATTACCTGGTGCTCACATCTCCCGATACTCTGATTCTTATTTCCCAAAAGGTCCTTGTGCAACACACCAACAAATACCAATCTGCAGCTGATCAGGTGCTTTGCTAAGCAGCACACGTCCTGCTAAGCTGACAGTCTGACGGGTCACCTGTAATCTGTATGAGCAATTCAGGGATGCAGGCAATCAAACGCCAGGATGCTCTGGGAATATTGATCTCATGCATCAAAAGAAAATTGCCGGTTTCAGGACCACATACAGATATGGAAGATTCTTCCATCAGTTTAAATGGTTGTGTTCTCTGCCTTTCTAAAATAAGAGGAGTTTTTGTCTTTCCAGTGTTTCAGTTGTCTTAGCAATAATAAAGGACTTTTGACATGCTCTCTGCACTTGTATTATATTTGCATATATTAATCTTCCCCAAAATGCACTGCACTTTCCAATGTTGTACAGAAGATAATATCTCTGACAGAAACCATGAGAGAATACGTAGGGCACAGACTAAAGCTTTAGGACTTCTACCACTTGTTTATTTTTGAGAATTACATTTTAAAAGCAGTGCAGATAAGCAAAGGCCACAACACATTGAGGAGAAAGAGGCCCCACATTCTAAAGAGCAACCCTAGCATTAAACTAGCAAATAATTGTGAAACATTATTTGACATTTGTGTACCCTCTGTGAGCAGCAGTTTATTTTCATTTCTTTATGACCAGCTAATGCTTGGTCTGCTGACTATTCATGTATCTTGTTGAGAGTTACACTTGATGCGCAATATTTTTTTCTTCTTATATTTGAGTCTGTGCCATCTCTCCATGGAAGCTGAAATTGGACATGTTTAAGTAAAAAAGAATAAATGCGTATATTCTTTCTCGGTAGTAATGTTAGCAGTTGCTGTTGAAGGCTAGGTTATGTAATATTACAAACATCTGAGATGGTGATTTTATTAGACTCCAGAAGGTGGCAGCAAAATGTTTTAAGATTTAAAAAAAAAAAAAAAAAAAAAAAAAAAAAAAGTTTATTTTTGACTTGCCCGCTTTATTCTAGTTTCTTTTCCCTTACGGTTGATGTGTATGGTATTTTTGGACAGGCATTGCATTTATTTAGATCATTTTTCCAGGCTTGCACACTCTATATAGAAGGAAGATTTGGTTTAATTATGTTATTTATATAAGTGAGACAATGGAGCCTAATATCAACAGTATTATTAAATATTAAATGCTTGGAGTTCGTAGGATGTGAGAACAAAGATCAATACTGTCAGAAATAAAGAACTCAAAATGCATGAAGATGTTTTTGTCAGAACACACGAACATCAGTTCTGCATCTTACAGTCTTACCTCGAGCAAAAAGCCCATTGACACCCACTGAAGGCTTATGGAAAACAAAAATCATAAAATTTTATGGGCTGAAAGTTATCACTAATGTCTTTTTTTTTTTTTAATTAATAACTGCTGAATAAATCATAAATATAAATTTGACAAAGAAATGTACACTAGAAGGTGAAGTTGCTATTTCTCTCACACATGTACATGAAGCACTGAGAAAAACACTCTAAATAATCCCGGCAATTATATTAATTTTGCTAAAATAAATGTAGAAGTAGCATTTAATTCTGTTGCCCAAATGTATGTTAGTCTCTGCCCTGTCCAGAAAGTTGAAAAACAACCATTTTAAGACAAACAATCCAAAAATGTTACAGTGGCAAGCATCACAATGCAATGTAATTCTAGCCCGGAAACAAACAAACAAACAAACAAACAAAAATTTATGTACAGAAAGCATTTGGGTATGATGAGTTTTTCAGATGGTTAACTCATATGCACATCTATTACTGTGTGCCATACCTTGAAGAGCTATGTCTGTCTGGCCAAAATATACTATCCTTTTTCTGGCTATCTGAAAGTAAAAACAGAAGTATAATCAACCTTATCTTATGCCTTTAGGCTAGGTCTGCTGGAGAAGATCTGCAAGTCATCCAGCATTGACATGGCGGAGCTGGGTTTGACCTTTGCTACCTCAGAAGATGAGAGCAGAGTCACTGGGTTGGGAAAACATTCTGCATAGTTTGAGCTCAGAAAAAGCCACATAATTTCATAGGCAAGTTTGCAGCACATGCTATCTCAGCCACTCTCAGCAAAGTTGCCCAAAACAGCTTAAAACAGCTCTAGAGTAACTAACTGCAAAAGCAGCCAGTAGAGCAAAGGAATGTGCAACAGCAGTTCAGCCTTTTGTTCTCTTCATCAGTATTATTTTGAGTTAAATGTCATTCTTTCTCAGGGAACAGTCTATTCAAAACATGACATTACCAATCTAACTGGAAAGTATTTGACAACTCACCTTAATTAACTTAACTCATATTGGCAGTCCTTTACAAGTATCCCTGGATTATTTCACAGCTACTTCTGCCAGAGTGGAAGGCCTTGGGCTGTTCTTATAAAAAGACCTTTTTGTACCTCTTAGTCACTTCTGGGAAGACAGACTCAGGTGTATTCCTTTCCTTTCCTTGGAACGGGAAGGGAAGTGAAGGGAAGGGATAGGCAGGTAAGGGAAGGGAAGGGAAGGGAAGGAAGGGAAGTGGAAGGGGAAGGCGGGAAGGGAAGGGAAGGGAAGGGAAGGGAAGGGAAGGGAGGGAATGTGGAAGGGAAGGGAAGGGGAAGGAAGGGAGTCAGGAAGGGACCGGGGGTGCCGGGAAGGGTGGAGGAGGGAAGGACAGGAAGGAAGGGCCGGAAAGGAAAAGGAAGGCAAGGAAAGGAAAGGAAAGGAAGTAAGAACGGCAAGGAATGGGAAGGGGTCTTTTTTAAGGTAAGTGAAGGAACGGGAAGGCAATGGGCCTATCTTTCGGGAATGCGGGTCCTTTCCTTTTTAAGTTCCTTTCCTTTCCTTGTCCTTTCCTTACCTTTCCTTTCCTTTCCTTTCCTTTCCTTTCCTTCCTTATTTTTCTTAAAAGAAACTGTCATTCTTTAATTATTAGTACAGCAGCTTGGTCCTCACAACATAAATGAAAAAGGTTGTATTCCAATAGATTACAAAGTACTGTGGTTTTCATCACATCTGGGACCACAAGAAAGAAAAGTAGTCAGATTGAAACATCAGCTTAAAATTTAGCTTGACTTTTTCTTCATCATTTATTATTTTACTGGAACTGTATTCAATGGTTTCCTACTATGTTTCCAGAGGAGAACAGCTAAAGTTTGTAATGCATTCTTAATGCATTGAACATAGTAATATCCATAAAACATGCTGCTATGGAAATTAGGTAGGAAATCCACATTGTCATCAAATTCATACTCTCACTTTTATATCTTGATCTTGATTTGCAAGTAGTTTAAGACAATTCTGTCAGGATAAGGAGGTATGCCAGCTTCAATTGGTAGATTATTGGTCTCAGGCATATTACCTTCAAACCTGAATTTGAAAAATTTAATATATATAGGAGTAAGCATAGATGTCTGCAAAACTGAGGCAAAAGAAAGGTGGTTAAAGCAAATAAATTCATGACAAATTAATTTATATAGCAGTATGTAGAGGCCAAAGTTTTTATGACTGGTTAATTTAGTCCTGAGCATTAGACTTAGAAGCAGCAGATGGAGGCAGATATCAAGAAAAATAAATAAAATAAAATAAAATAAAATAAAATAAAATAAAATAAAATAAAATAAAATAAAATAAAATAAAATAAAATAAAATAAAATAAAAGGTGTTATTTCTCTTTTAAAGTTATTTTAAGCTGCTTTTTTTTTTTTTTTTAATAGTACTTGATGTGATTTTAAGGAAACACCACAAACAGAATACAGAGAAATGAGACACAGCTGTCTTGCTGTCTTCTTGTTGGGCTTGGTCATGCTAACAGACAGTGAACTTTTCAAACAGACAAAGCTCGTGTGTGTTACTGACAGCAGATTAGACTTCCGGTAAGGGGAGTCAGAAAATGCAAACCTTTTCACGTTAAGTGGAGTCATTTTGTGTACAAATGACTCAAGCTACTGGTATCTTTTGTATCTAGATATATTCTCCTTTTAAAGCCTTGCAGATGTGAGCTCTTGTTAAATAAACACCTTTGATAGAAACCTCACAGGCTTGTAGTTTCACTAAACATCTCTCACTCCTGAAGCATTTGATGTCTAATGCCGTATTAATGCTGACAAGAAAACCCAACAGCTGTTAAGTGCTGAGCAGCAACTCAGGCCTTTAATGTTATGGCACATTTCACAGTGAGAGGAAGAAGGTTTGTCAGATTATCACCTGCACATTTGAGAAGTGTCAGGACTCCAGCTGTTTCCACCTGCAGGGTCACCAGAGATGGGTACACAGGACCTTGGGTTAAAGACTTGGACAATGTCCTGCAGCCTTGCAGCCCCAAGGGACAAGAAGTCTGACATCATTAAAATTAATCAGAGAAAATAGATGCAGTAAAAGGCCAAATTTAATTGCTTTGTGGTCAGAAAGATCGACCGACTAATTCTCAC